GAACTCTACCCCAGACCCATGTATTTAGCTAGTTCAGAGAGCATCATCAACATGCTGCATAACAAGATAGAATGATAACACCTCTATCAGCTGACGCCAACAGGCAGGAACAGGGAGACAAAACACTGAGAGCACAGCAGCCAAGGTTACAGGTGCCTGTGCTCAGTCAGGACAGTTTGAACTGATACACTGGGTCAAAGCTATGGGCCTTGGAAAATATTTCCACAACAGTAGGGATATGGTGTTAATGCCATATCAAATCTGAAAAAAAATTCTGAGTTTAGGATGGCCGAAGACACTACACTACCCATAATCCCCAGCTATCGTTTAGGACTACTGTCCCCGTGATTAATCTTCAAACTCTGGGATTGGATGTTGGAGTAGCAGTGCGCCAAGGTTACGCTGAGCGTCAAATAGCTGTTTGAAATGGAACGAAACCACGCCAGACTATCCAAAACTGGAATCGAATGCCCCCCCAGAACTACACATGCTGGCTATTGTGTTTCGCAAAATGTTCTATGGGACGTCTCTACTGAACGTTTTCGTTTTTCCCACAATTAGAAGTTGCCAGTATTAAACACATTGGTGTTATCAAATGTAAAACATATAATTAATAAATGGGTGAAAATCGCTTGTGTCCATAATGCGCAGCATTGATATATACCCACATGACAGCTAATTGTTACTTTGTAATTCTACTCCACTACAATTCAGAGGTTAACCTGGTATTTTTACTCCATTACATTTATTTGAGTTACTTTGCAGATTCTGATTAATGATGTGAAATATAAACAACCCTTAAATCAGACTTTAGTTACACCTGACTAAAATTCAGGGAAGGTGATTGTCAAGTGCCAACAATCAGGAGAGATATGTGATAGTTGGTGCTTGAGAAGACTAAACACGTATCTGCAATTGACATGAATGGAAACGAGTAATAAAGTATATTCATTACTCGTTATTCTCTACTAATAGTTCATTAAAGACTGTATAATGGCTATTTTGCACATCCCTTTCAAGATTTTCAAAGGTTTATTGACATATCATATACACAACTATGGTGTAGCTATGCAATGAATGAAAAACGTGGGTCGCAGCTGAGGTTCCTCAACAGTGCATTACAAGACATCTATCAATATGTGTGTATACCTCCACCATTAAACTGTCATATTCTGCACATTTCCTATACTATCTACATACATAAGAGTATAATTCATATGTATAATATCAGTTAAAATAAGTGCTTCAACATAGTTAACATTGCAGGAAAGCAATATATTAGACGTTAAGTATTTAATATGTATCTTTTGATACCCCCAAAGCTTTTTTCTTATTTAAAAGAAGACCTTAATCTAAAGTATTATTTAATGTTTAAATACAGGTTAATTCGTTTTTCTGTTTTGCACCTCCTCCTATTAATATCTTTGTACATCCTGCACTAAACTGTTTTATTGTAGAGATCACTTATTGTATCTTCTTGATTTTTTATATTCTACTTTCCCCCTATGAAAGTATGTACTCTTAATATTTTCATCAAATATAACACATAAAAACAATAATTCAATAACGTGCTTTAACCACTAGGCGGTGCACACATGGTACACAGAGCCATAATAACTTTGTATTATTAGTGTAGGACACTTATGTATGTACAACATCTGAAGGTGTGTAGTTTTATTCATGTTTTCACATAATTTTACAGCATATTGCTATATTATTTCAGACTCAGTATTTACATTCTTATATTCAAAGAAAATCAGTAATATCTTTAAAAACTACAGTCCTTTTATATCAGCTGTGCACCGTTATGGTGTAAATATAACCTCTGTGAATTAGATCAAATGTAAAAGTCAGCCGAATTAGTGTTGATACTGCAAGGAGACGTATTGTGTGAAGAGAAATTGAAGATGTTGTTTAATTGTTGATATATTTATGATTCACGTCAAGTATTCAGTTTCGGCGGCATTTCTTCCAGTTTTTCCAAAGGTCTTCTCATCAGGGCTCTATAAATAAAGAACTACGGCAGATCTGTAATATGTAATGCAGCCGAACCGTGTATTACAATGCTGTTATGTGATGACTTTCAAAGAGAAAAGCAAAAACACTCGGAATAAAGTATTATTTTCTTTAAAAAAAAAAGTTTTTCGGATTTGATATGGCATGCACACCATATCCCTACATGCATTGCGGCTAAAACATCCAATCAGCGAGCTTAAACCATAGCTGAGGATCTTGGGTAATCAGTTCAGTGGCTGTGGCCCAATCCCAAACCACTCCCTCGACCCTACCCCTCCGTGATGGAGTGAACTCAGTCTGTAGCCACACTCGCAGCTCAACGAGGCTCCCTCCTGTCAGATGGAGGGAGTAAATACAGCAGCAAGCTTTGGGACGGCCTCCCCTCTCTCCGGCAGAAACAGGAAATGCCATAACTGTATGAAACAAAGGTTTCAAATCAGCATCTCTTAGACAAAAACATGTAAATTAATAACTCAAATAAAACTCCAAACATATTTCATTGTGTTACTTTTTTGTAAAGCTCTTTTAGTTTTAAACCTGATGTTTATAAGCTTCTTAGTTTTTGCAACAGTCTGTAAATATACACAACTTTATAATAAAATGCACACATTTACCTTTTTCTAGACTAAACACAGGTACGATCCTAAGTTAAAAACATATGAGGCTATCATGAGGTTGACATCGCAGTTTATCAGTGATGTTTGCTGGAACTACTTGTAAACAGCGTGTTTCCTGACGGACACACACAGCGTGACTCCGGTCAGGTAGAGACCGGTCTCAAGTCAGCACCGCTGCAGACTCGCTGTTTGAGGGCTGGATAGCCCACTCCCCCTCCACACTCGTTGCTTTGGAACAGCCCTCTATATGGCGGACACTCCGTGTGAACGCGCAAACGGAGGGGTAGGGTGTAGGGGGCGGTTTGGGAATGGGCCTGTGTATCGCAATGATGCTACTTCTGTTTCCGGTTATTTTTATTTTGAAATTCAGTTCCTGACGGACGCCAAAAAAGCCAGAGATTATGGAATTAAACAAATAAATAAAACAAGGATAATTGTGTGTTATTGGTGAGTAAATAACAGTGTGTTATTTAGAAAATAATAATAAATTAGAAGGAAAAAAAGATTTAAAAAAATACAGATTTCAGTATTCTGAGGCTCTGAGCCCCATTTATTTTCCTCACAGACGACAAAAAAAGTCCGACATTATACGATTTAAAATAAAAACAATAATCGTGGCTTGATATTGAGTAAGAACATGTTTTTATGAACCCCACAGCTTCCGGTCTTCCATGACCCGAACGGACAAAAAGACATGCTGCAGGCACGAAACATACAAAAATACATTGCTTTTAAAATCGTTCTGTGTGACACGAAAAAAAGGGGGAAATCGTGTTGGTGAACACGAATCAATAGATTACATGTTGTGACTACAACACGAAATGCCATGAGACTGGGTTGCATCAGCTGTTGCCTGGTGCATGGGGTGGAGCGGAGGAGAGCAATTCTTGGCTTGCTCTTCCTGTTGTCATCTGTGGTCTTCGGCACTCGCCCAATACAAATCCTGTCGTTTTTCTCTCTGATCTTATAATATTCTAATGTTTGATATTTAAACATTCCCTAATAACAGTAGCCTATTGCAGCGTCAAGTGAGAGTTAAATACCGTGTTTTTAGTGTACAACACTATGTGTAATTTATCATTGAATTCACTGTTTCAAAACTTAGGCCCAATCCCAAACCACTCCCTCGACCCTACCCCTCCGTGATGGAGTGAACTCCGTCTGTAGCCACACTCGCAGCTCAACGAGGCTCCCTCCTGTCAGATGGAGGGAGTAAATACAGCAGCAAGCTTTGGGACGGCCTCCCCTCTCTCCGGCAGAAACAGGAAATGCCGTAACTGTATGTAACAACGGTTTCAAATCAGCATCTCTGAGGCCCAATCCCAAACCACTCCCTCGACCCTCCCCCTCCGTGACGGAGTGAACTCCGTCTGTAGGCACACTCACAGCTGAATGAAGTTCCCTCCATTAAGGGTTAACCCTTAAAGACCTAGACGGAATTTTCGCCTGCCTGACTCTCCTGTATTTATTTGTTTCTCCTAACCTGTTCTAACCTTTTCTTGCAGTCAGCATCAAGTGCCTTACCTCATTTGATTCAGGAGAACCTCTAGTTCAAGTCTGGCTAATTTGAAGTCCAAATTTTACCATAACTTTGTGTGATAATGGCTGAATTTACCAGCACTTTTCAAAAACGCCAGTACAAATGTTGTGTTTTTTTACTGTTTACTCCGCCAGGAACATAGGGATTTTCTTTTTTATTATTTACAAAGCTGCATTTAGATGTTTTAGGCTTTCAAATAAAATTTCATCTGCATATTATGTTCCCTGAGCAAGTTACAGCTATTTATTACAATATTATCCTAGGCGTTTTTCAGTGAAAAACGCCTAGGATCATATGGAATAATTAAAACGAAATGTATTTCCATATTTAAATGACTGATCATGTTTCTTCTGTCAAAAAAAGGTTGAGAGAGTAAACAATTAAACCATAACAGATGACATTGCAACAAAAATAACTTGTTTCAGAGATATATATTATCATTTGAACATTGAAATACAAACACAAACAGTGAAACAAATTCAAAGTGCAAATTAACAAAGTGCAAATTATATTAAAACTATAAACAAAGTATTAGGAATATATAGAAAGTGCAAAAGTACAAAGAGCAAATGATCTTCAAACTATAACCAAAATATTAGAAAAATATATAAAGAGCAAAGGAAATGTATCAAGATTCATCATGGTCTGGGTCGCTCAGATGTACAGCTCTGCTGATTGCCATGAACCTGTCTCTTGTCATGACAGAAGCAGGAAAGAGAACACTTAGGTGTGATCCCTTCCTCCAGTAGTCTCTTACTTTGAGCAGTTTTAGAAGTGCCATGAACATCATAAGGCCGACATACATGAGGAATTTTACCGGCTTTCCCAAACAAACTTTTCCCCCTTAGCCTGCTCCTTTTCAGCATTTTTGTTTGTGTTCTTGCAGATGATATTTACAGCTTGGTTGTTAAAACAATTTCTAAATATTTGTGCAGGAGTATACTCCACACCAACAAAACCTTGGACTCCACGGGCTCTTTTCGGGCAAAAGTGTGGTAGTTGTTGGGCAGTATCTGGCACCTCAGGTCCGTTCCAAACAGCTCCTGGCTCTTCTGGGGTCAGAGATGTTTTTTTCCCTTTCCCTCTTCCTCTCCCTTTCACTGTCAGGGGGGCTGGCATTGGTTTGGCCTTTTTTCTGGATGCTGCACCCTCCTGGCCACATTCTTTTCCCTCTCGGTTTGAAGGAGGCCTACTGATGGGGACAGTGGCTTGTGCATCCCCTCTCTCATCCTCTGTACTAAAATAAAAGGGAGGAAAATATACAGATATAAATGTCTGAATTTATTTTATTTCCTTTATTGCTTTTATTTCTCCAGTGTCATCCTATCTGTTTTCTAAACACAGTCTCAACTTTTGATTTGATTCACACTTTATCCCTCTGCTAACATTACTAGTTGATGGAATCAGTAACTGAATTGTAATGCAATGAATATAATAACATTAGACCTCATAACAAACAACCAAAGAGGGCAAGCGGAATGAGGCAATAAATGAAAGGTATTGCTTGACGTTTTTTTACTGAAATAAATAGTAGCCTCTATTGATAGTGAATCTTGAGCTCAGGACTTCACTTTATGACACAATTACGGCAAATGGCCATCCATTATAAAAACTCTTAGGACTAATTATTTTCGGCGTTATACAGCAACAACAACCGATAAATGCAACACAAACAATAAGAAATAAGCAAAGTTACTCACTTTTTTATCTTCGAAGGGATCAATCCCGTGATCATACTCCTCTTCCTTGCCAGTTGTCAGCTTCAGAATCTGAGGAATCCACCGCTGCATCGCTAAGCGGTCCGCCAGACAAAATACATTCTACGGTTTCTTCCGTAGTGTAACGCCGTTTTGACATGTTGGTTTGAATTTGTCTTGGGATATGTGTGTGTGTGTGTGTGTGTGTGTGTGTATGTATGTGTGTGACTGTATCTAGATATCTCGTGTTGTATTTATTTCTCTTACGCTGGCAGAATTACTCTTCTTTAGTATTACTCTCTCGTCTCTCTGTTTCTCTTTGTTTATCTCCCGCCGCCAAAAACATACACAGCAACCTATGTTGATTGGTCGAGAAGATGGTAGCATGGGCAGAGGTTTGCCTGGACCTTTACATTTTAAACCTATCCGGACACAGGGGGGTGGGACTTAGTCTAAAACCTTGGCTGTTTGGCTCAGACAGAGGGGCCGCGTGGGTCTCCTTGACGAATCAAGGCTGTAAAATGTGATAACGTTGCCCCGATCACGTCGGAGCCTCTAAATCCCGGAAAAGGACATAGTGATACCAGCAAAAAGCCTAGAATAGCCGCTTTACCTCACTTTTTAAATCAGATGGATAGAATTAGCGGTTAAAAAGTTATTAAGCATTTTAGAACGCTACCTCTTTGAAGCCGCGGGCGGCTCGCTCGGCCTTTAAGGGTTAAGGGTATAAATACAGCGGCAAGCTTTGGGACGGCCTCCCCTCTCTCCGCAGGAAACGGAAACGGACGTCATGGTGTCCAACTCACATCTCCATCTGTCGGCTGCATTGACCTGCGTTGCTATCCGTCACCTGTTAGCGGGTGCAATGGCAAGATCCAACAGAAGGCGCAGAAGGTTGAGGCGCATTTTAGCGATGTGCCAGTGGCAGGTAAACATTTCAATATTGCTAATACAACAATTATCTTCACTTTATTTCTTATATAGTAGCCTATGAACTTTGTATGTGTAATACAAATAGATATTTAGATATATTGTGATATACATTCATTTATTCTTTCCTTATAAGCTATACGTGTATATCTGTATAGTGTATGTAGAATTCCAACACAGAGAAATGTTGTCAGTAGTTTATAGAATAAAAAAGGAAAGGTTCATTTGACTTGGTCTCAGAATTGTGTGTGTGTGTGTGTGTGTGTGTGTGTGTGTGTGTGTGTAACAATACTGTGTCCTGTGTTTGTCTTTTACAGGGGGGCAAAGGTCTTTACATGCAGCTCAATGCCACTGCCCCAATTCTCGCCGTGTATGCCAACCCTGAAGCCTGTCTAAAGAAGGACTTTAGAGTTAAGCGATCTAGTGTGGTGTATTTAGTGCAGATGCTTTCCTCCCCAAAGGACCATGGATGGGGACAAGACATCGAGGTGCTTGTTCTCCTCTACAGCTTGGCCCATGGACTATCACTCTCTGTGGTGGGTTCAGCATTCGGGATTCCCAAATTGACGGTCCACAGGATCATCAAACACGTCACCGGGAAGATAAAGGCCAACCTGAAGACCCTCATTTCCCTGCCAACCCCATATGAGCTGCCAGAGATTGCAGATGGCTTCTGTCAGCTTGCAAAGAGTCCTGTATTTCACCGTGCTGCTGGTGCGATTGATGGATGCCATATTCGCATCAAACCTCCAGGAAACGAGTACCACAAGGAGTACATAAATTACAAGCTGTTTCCTTCCATCCAGATGCAGGCCATCTGTGACTCAACTGGGAGATTCCTGGATGTCTTCATTGGCAATCCAGGCTCCGTTCATGATGCCAGAGTACTGCGAAACAGCCCCATCTTCTGCCAGGCACTGTTTCCCCCAGCTGGTTGGTTCCTCCTTGGGGACGGTGGTTATCCCTGCCTGGAAAAACCAGTGGGATTACTCACACCCTACAAGGTCCCTCGCGGCCAGGTGCAGGCCAGATTCAACAGGCATCATGCCAGGGCTCGGTCTGTGGTGGAAAGAGCATTTGGAAGGATGAAGGCTCGCTGGAGGGCCACCCTTTCCAAAGCGCTGGAGGTCAGTCCAAGCTTTGCCCCCGACATCATTGCATGTTGTGCATTTCTGCACAATCTGTGCATAGACATGAACGATGTCCTTGAGGATGCTGAAGCCTTCCCCCCTGAAGATGGGGACCAGAGTCCTCCCCCTGCCGCAGCATGTGGACAGGAAAGTCCTGGACACCACCTAAGGAACAGGATTGCTGCACAACTCTCTGCTCCTGTCCAAATGGCACCACACCTGAGAGAGCACGATTACATCTAATGAACTTTGTTTTTTTTTGGAAAAACGTGGTTGTCTGTTAACTTGTGTTTTTCAAATGATGTGCACACATACCTGATTTAATTTTGTTTGTTTTAGTGAGCTCCACTTCTCACTTTAGAGAAAAGAGGTGAAATAAAATAAACCTGTGCACCGTTGATTTCAAACTTGGTTTTCCTGAATTGTCTTTCTGCATAATCCCAAATTGGAGACAAATGTCCTTACCTCTTGGATCATTCAATCACGAGCACAGAGCAAAGGTTCAGAAAATGAACACAGGTCTTCTAATACAATCCCTTTTGTTTTTGAGTGAAACTCTGCAAATGGTTTGACATGAGCAATTAAGACCGTCAATGTCATGTATATTTTAATGCCTTATACCTATGAAGCGCACAGACATATCTTTATTTAAAATGCTGATATTCAGGGTTAATCTTCAGACTTTGAAAAAAACACTTTAGTTCCGTGCACAACATTACTTTGTGCAAAACTTTTCCTTCTACATTATGAAACCCACACAGAACGATGTAGCCATCTAACAATCAAGCAAACGCAATGTCACCTTCATCACCCGTCTACCTGTATTTACTATATCCCATACAATATTGAAGACATGAAGGACAGTACGTTAAATTAGGTTTATTGTCTTCCAAATAAATAATACAAGCGAACAAAAACAAGTCTTTTAAGTAACATCAATAATCAACATAGAAATGGCCAATGGTGGGGGGGAAAAAATAAATCACATTTTGTCGACCATTTTTTCGAACAGGGTTAGAAATGTATCTGAGTGCTGCATTATTTGTCTGTGGCGTTCGTCCTCTTTTTCTGCCTCGCGTTCTAGGCACTCCAGCACTCCCATAGCACCTTTTCTTTTTTGGGGGGGGGGGGCTGCTGGGTGGTTCCAGCCTCAGACAGTGATGAGGGTGGTGAGGGGTCTGGATCATCAGCCACATTTGGGGGGGGGGGAAGGAAGAGGAGCAGGAAGCAGCCTCCGGATCAAAGAGGATTGTGGGGTTTGCCAAGGCTGAGGCAACAAGGACAGGAGGACTAATTGAAGGCCTTGCACCTATGGCCATGAAGAAGGGCCATGTTGCAGGGGTTTCTTCCCCCTGATCAGTCCCTGTTCCAGTCCTTGGCCTTTTAAGTTCCTATTGCAAACAAATGCATGTTAGAAATCTTTGTTCAGCTTTTTCAAAAACAAACATGTTTTACAATAACAATACACCATTTACCTTGTATTTCTTTTTTAGGTTCTCCCATTTCTTGGAGGCCTGTTTGTGAGACACATGTTGCCCAAGGTCCAGTTCCTTAATGATTGACCTGTTATCATAGAATATTTAAACAATATATATTGGTGTTAAGGCAATGACCCACAGTGCACATTCATTACTTTCATTGCACAAAATATGAATTGAGTGCATAACTCACTCCCATGCTTCTTTGGCAGCATTGCGTTTTTTTCAGAACAGGTCGTCCTTTTCCATCCTTAAAGCAATAAGTGCCTTGGTTTTTACCACAGTCCCTGAAATTACAAATCACACTTAAGTTTAAACCGATTTCGTAAGTGAATGGATACATGAATTGACACATGTGTTGTTAGTTTGATTCCGATTTAGATTTGTACATCTTCAAAATAAAAATCTAATGTAATCTTGGCAAATCAAATTAACACGTGTAGATTTATAAATACATGTTCACAAAGGCAAGTTTTAGTTAAGGCAAAGTATTATTTATCGTTTAAAAAAATAACCACATGGAACTGACATTTGTATGACGTTGTTTCCTCCATGCCCGAAAAACGGTTGCACACCTGTGGAGTGAGATTATCAAGCCTGCATCCATGCAAACTCGCTGTCGGAGGCTTTTATAACCCACTACGCCTCCGCCCTGATTGCTTTGGACCAGCCCTCAATATGGCGGACCCTTCGCGCAAACGCGCAAACGGAGGGGTAGGGTGTAGGGGTAGGGTGTAGGGGCGGTTTGGGAATGGGCCTTAGACAAAAAGTTTAAATGAATAACTCAAATAAAACTCCAAACATCTTTCATTGTCTTTCAAAGCTCTTTTAGTTTTAAACCTGATGTTTATAAGCTTCTTAGTTTTTGCAACGGTCTGTAAATATACACACCTTTATAATAAAATGCACACATTTACCTTTTTCTAGACTAAACACAGGTATGATCCTAAGTTAAAAACATATGAGGTCATCATGAGGTTGTTAACATCGCAGTTTATCAGTGGATGTTTGCTGGAACTAGGCTACTTGTAAACAGCGTGTTTCCTGACGGACACACAGAGCGGGACTCCGGTCAAGTAGAGACCGGTCTCAAGTCAGCACCGCTGCAGACTTGTTGTTTGAGGGCTTGATAGCCCACTCCCCCTCCACACTCGTTGCTTTGGAACAGCCCTCAATATGGCGGACCCTCCGCGTGAACGCGCAAACGGAGGGGTAGGGTGTAGGGGTAGGGTGTAGGGGGCGGTTTGGGAATGGGCCGTAGTCTTCAGCCACAAGCTAATACTAACCTAAAATTGAAGCTAACAATATTTACTCGCAGGAAGTCGTTGTGTGAACTTCCGGTTTTTCAGAATAAAACAGTTTTAAATTAAAACAGTGTATTTCATTTAAATTACGCCATATAAACATTGATTTAATTTCTTACACAACATTTATATGAATGGCTTGCGAACTGTTCCCACTGATAACGATTACATTTTACTGTACATTCTAACTTCCAATTGTATTTATTTTATTTGAATATGTTGCAACTGTCACAAAACCTAATTTTCCCCTCGGAATAAATAAAGTATTTTGATTGATTGTTTGATTATTACCATGCCTGTGAAAGCAGTAGTTGTTGGTTATGACATTGTTGTTTTGTTTCCTCACAAGCCTTTCTTCATTCTTCCTCCCTCCTTGTCTGGAACATGTCTGATCTCTGATTTGAACTTTTGGCAATTCTGGTTGAAAATAGAAAATAAAAACAGGTTTTTTTATTCAAATATGCGCTTGCTGCTGGAAGCTTTTGCCCTGGTAGTGTGGCAAAAATTACAGCCATTATCGCCATAATTTCTCTGCCTTGAAGGCATCTGCTTTTTCACCCTCTTTTTCTCTTTCTCTCTCTCTCTTATTCCACCCATGACACCTCTCCCTTCTTGCCGCTGCCGTAATATGAAACGGTTACTGAATTCCAAATGAATCCCAAGCTGCATGGATTACAATTGATGTGTTGAATAAACTAAGCTCTGCATGACGATAATGGCCTTGTCCCCTTACACACTCTCACTCCTTTTAATCTTACCTTAACCTGGAGCTAAAATACATCCCAGCTGACGAAAACGATATGGTAATACAGCTCTGCAGAAACCTATTGGTGACATCGCAGACACGACGTCCGTAACATATTCAGTCTATGGATAGCAACACTGATTATATAGGAAATGATAGTGACTTAACAACCCTTTTCCATCCCACTGGCTTCATTGGTGAGGAAGTGACAACCATCTGAGCTACAGACCGCTCCATAAAATAGGTAGATCTGGCTATTGGGGTTGTCTTAATTGACACAAGGCTAGCCCCAATCACATTTTAAACATCTAACATATAGTCAATAAATCGATCAAAATACTTTATTAATCACAGGGAGAAATAAGGTTTTGTCACAGTGAGGGTAAGGCCGCAGGACCAAAACACAGTACAAAGACAGGGGAGGCGGTTATAGGAATATAAAAAAAAGCCGATACAAAAAGGGGGAACAGACCAGATAACGTGGAAAACCAAAAAACCACGAAAAACTACTCAGAGTAAACTCAGTCAGCCGCTACTCCTCGCTGTTATGGGCCTTTGCATCACTAGGTTATTTTGTTGTAATGTTAGCTTTTTGGGGGGGATGAATAAACGAGAGCAAGTCCACCTACACGTTGGTCCAATCCTTTCCTATACAAGAGCCTCTACAGTATATAAGTTATATTCAACACATATAACAATAAAACAATAACTTCCCGTAAATGTACGTTCCTGCTGCTCGCCTGCCCTACCACCACCCAGCTTCCACCTGTAGGCTCTGGGGGATAGTTATCTACTCATCACTCAACGTTCTATGTAAATCTGTGGAATGATGAGGCCCGAGCCTAGACGCCAAACTCAAGCACTTTGCCCCACTTGTGATTATTTTTTTGCCGCACACATTGAATACAAAAAGACTGAGCATGCGCAGTGTAGTTTTTACAGCACCCATTTATTTTGAGAGCAGAGAGAGGGGCTAGACCAGGGCTTGTATCGCTGAACACGGCTCAATAGGCACACTGTAGACATTAATTACAAGAATGCAGACTAAAACAGCAATGTAAAGACGAATCAGATGACGAAACATGATCTTAAAATTGATTTTAAAAGGTCCCATGACATGGCTATTTCTACTGATCATAATTCCATTGTTGAGGTCTACTAGAATAGATTTACATTGTTCAATGTTCCAAAATCACATTGGTTTTCTCACACAGCATCTCTGTATATATGTGTATTCACTCTCTGTCCTAAACGCCTTGTTGGAGCTTGTGAAGCTGACAATTGAGCGGCCCGACCAAGCAAGGAGGCAGAGGCAGAACGTCCAAAATACAACCCGGTGTGGGCATTTATTACAGCATGAACACAATGACACACACACAGCCTTAATCCTGCTGTTGTTTCCTTGAGCACAGCACAGCCTGCAGCCACAAGGATCTCACACACACTACCTGCCTCAAAATAGACAGGGCAACAGACCCTAAATACACACACTAATCTGCAATTCGACACAGGTGGGGGGGAGGAGACAACACAGGGCACCAGGTGCACACAATCAACAGCCACAGACATGGGGGAAGGGGAACACTTTTAACATGAAACCAAACAGAGACAGACAAACTAGTTACATAAATTACATATATTCCCATGCAATGTTTTTAGTGCTATATTACCCGTAACGGAGGCCGAGATCTATGGGCCCAGAGATCACCTCCGTTACAGAGCTCCTGCCCCCCCTCCCTATGAGCCCACTGTGTTCTGATTGGTCAGCTCGCACACTCTGTTCTGATGAGTCCACCACCGTTACAGTGGAACATCAGTGATTATGTGTTACAACGGCGTTAGCAACCAGAAAATGACACCAGAAAGGACAAACAGATGAGAATGCTGCGTGGGGTCTGGGTGCCGTGTTGGCGGGATGTTGCATGGCTCGCTGCTGCGAGGAACGGACTGTGGCCGTTTCTCAATCGCGAGTACACATGCTGCAGAGCAACTATTTCAAGTTTACTACGTCATAGAGTGGCGCCGAAGGACTGTTTAAATGCATGTTAAATGCCCAGCATTCTGCGCCACTCTATGATGTAGTATACTTGAAATAGTTGCTCTGCAGCATGTGTACTCGACATTGAGAAACGGCCAGTGTGAGCTGGGTTCATTTCCTGTTTGCTGCGTGGGGTCTGCGAGACAGTGCAACACTAGCTCGACTAGTATCCGCACCCTCAGATTCACAAGCATAGCCGCGGGAAGTAGGGGTGCTGGGGGTGCTGTAGCACCCCCTTTTGGCGAGTGGTGTACATTTGAAAAACTGAGTGACCACCTAAATAAAAATGATTAAACTACATAAAATAGTTATGATTTTACTTAAAATAAAATGAGCTGTATACAGTAGCATATAATAGTCATAGTATATATTTGTATCAGTCAGGTGGCTTGAATTTATTTTCAAAATTAATAAAATCCGAGTCATCTAGGTTGTGAGATAGTGACGTAATTGACGCGACACACACACTGCAGAGTGACAACTTTCTAAAATGGCGCAAAAAAGGATTTGGGATTTTTTTCTCCAACAAACAACCCAATAAAAAGAGTGGACCACCAGCTACTCCTCAGCCCACCGTGACCTCTACAACTAGAGTAATATGACACAGAAGAGACTGACACATCTGACTTTGATGCATGTCCATACATAGCCGCGGGAAGTCATTTTGCTCAGGGGGTGCTGCCAAAAGTGGGGAGGGAGCCGCTTAAGCGATACAAGCCGCATCAATTGTTTGTTAAAGGCGAGACACGGCAGGCAAAAACAATCGTTTTTCATGCACTGGTCAATTTTGAGATGTTGTGCTATTTTGATTCCATAACATGTTTTCTTTCAGGCTTTTGGAAGGAAAACGTACAAAATACACATTTAAGTGTTCATTTTACTATAGTTTGTCTATTTGTGTCTGTATATTTCTCCTAAATTCACCAAAAGTTAGCATTCTAACGTAACATAAAGTACCGCGACCGCTGTTTGCACAATGTCATCGTTGGAAAAGCTCCGTCTCTCCTGCACAATCTCATCGGATCCAAATATGGTAATTTCCTTTGTATCAGCAACCAATCGTGAAAGTACAAAAGGGTCTTAAACCAAGAAACAAAATCTCATTGGCTGGTGTCAACTTCTGACAACGTGATTCGTTCAGATGCATCACGTGATGTGCTAAAACACTTTCTGGTTAGCTTTCCGCTAGAAATGTAAATCTCAAAATGGCAAAAGAACGGCGAAAAAACGTTCACAGAGAAGACAACAACAATTGTCACTTGCACGAAGCAAGATTATACAAAAACCAAATTACCCCGAACATGAAATACCTTCACGGAGTGCGTCGATGCGCAAGCTGTCATCCAAAGAACAGAGGGTTTAGCTAGCGCCTCACTGCAATCTTTAAAGGTCGTTTTCTCAAAATGAGTTTTTTCTCCTACTCTGAGTTCGAAATGTCCACTTCAGTTGCACTTACATGCACCAAACCTTCCAGTTATATTCCTATCAATATTATGAAGGCTTTTACAGAAGGGTTTGTTCATATATAATTCATAGCCTGAATTATACAACATTGTACACCTAAAAACATGGCGAAAATTGATATTTTAGGGCTGTTGAC